ACGCTGACGGGCTCGCCGACCCGCTCAGCTGTTCGGGTGCGAAAAAAACATAAACATCGAGACAAACATAAGAAACAATTAGGCCCGTTGGCACATAGGCCGTAAATTAACGATGCGTGAACGATAATTCGATTTTTATTGAATCGCATTGCCGCAGCATGAAAATGAGTAATATTTAAATGTAATTCCGCGTACACGCGGAAAAAGAAAAAGCAACGTTTAACGGCTAGCAATTTAAAGGCCTTCGCGTAAACAATAATATGAGGAATGTTTTAGGAGACAGGTTGGGCGTTCGACGAATAATGAAGCATAATAATTCGGCTAGGAAACGTATTTTCGTGTGTAGCTATTAATTCTTACAATAAAACTTTAACTTTGCCAAACTCAAAAGACCGATTATATAAATCGATTCTGCATATGCGCATATCTGCCCCTATTAATTCCAGCCGGAAAAAAGTAACTTATAACAAAATGTATAAGTGTGAAATATCTTTTAGGACACGGATTTTTTTTCGTAAAATAAGCTGCAATGTAAGATGAATTTCAAAGACTTACCTATACGAGTATATATCATTCAAGCGCAAGCATGCAAACCAACGCGCTCCAAGCAGTACCACTCTCAGAATATACCGCGAAGAATAACGTATTCACTGTAACAACCATCTAACACGCGAATCTTCTTATTCCCAAAAGGCTAAAGCTAGCACGGCTCTTCCTGACTTTGAATCTCAGACAACCGTTTCTCTCTCTCTCTCTCGCGTCACTCCATCCGCGAGCTACTCCGCGAGCTTCTACTTCAAAGGACCGATCCGTCGCTTTGCCGAGAGAAAGATGAAAGCAGGCACAAGACAGCCTGTTCTACCGTGCAACTCTCGAACTGTACTCAAACTAGCCCTCTTCTCACTTTGATTTCTCGATCTAGCTCTTCCTACACACGAATCTGCCGCTACTTTGCGAGCGACACTTGGGGCGCGTCTCTCTCAGCGAAGCGAGAAAACGAATGAGAGGGACGGGGAGCTAAAGAAAGGTCGATATCAACCGCGGATCGAGTGATCTTGACATACTGCCCGCGTCAGGCCGAAGTGGCTAAACTTAATACCGCGGCGAAGGAGAAGGCGAGGAAGGTTACCCGTAGAATCAACTCTAGTGTGTACATGACGTGCCAATTGACTTCCGCCAACTGACGTCACGTTTCTCTCTGTTTCTCTTTTTTCCTCTTTCTCTTCGTTTTCGTAGACCCGTCGGTCGAGTTGTAATTTCGACCAAACGCCGCTGGCAATTTTCTTCGTTTCTCGACACGCGAGATATCACGCGATGCTGAAAAATCACGGGATTTTAAGGTACTTGGAGAAGATTAATTTAGTCATCGTTTATATGATTCTTGCAACAATAAATGACGTTATGTGCGGAAAGTGTAAGCGTAAAATAAATCATTAGAACGGGGGATTTATTTAAATTTCCGATATTCCACTTATAATTATGTGACGTACTGAAAATAATATAGCGCTTTCATATCAATAAGAGAGACTTGACGAAGACTCATAACTAAATTTATTATTTTATTAATTTAATTTTATTTAAAATTTAAAAAAATAAGAATTATTATTATAATTTCAATCAATGGACTTCAGGTGATATATCAATTTTTTTTTATTTGGGTGACAATAATTTTTCTAGGAATTTTTTTTGTAACAACAAGCATAGAAAGAAATTATAGTGAGTGGCTTAGATTTTGTCATTGCAGTCAGTAGATCAGCGCAAGTTATTCTTAGCTACTTATTTAGCGTCCAAAGGAAGCGCGGTTGATCGGACGCTCTATAACAGACTCGATATATTCATGTCATCATAAAGTCAATTAGAGCAATCAGTTCTCTTTTCTTTCATTCGGCGGATCTTACGCCATAATTTACTATTAAAATAACATATATTTTCTTCGATAATCGATGCGCTCTTAATCTTTTATTAATCGATGCTATTATATATCTACGATGCTATTATTCATAAACTTACGAGATTTTTTTTTTCGGAGTAAGTCGTGTCTCAACGTTATAGCGATTAGCCAACTCAAGTGAAAGGAATGCGATTTCAAACAAGAATACGTGATACATTCTCGAGCACGCGAACGAGAAAATACACCGGTGAATGAGGATTTATTAGTCGCCGCAAGCGAATGCGATTTAACGACGGAATGTATTATTCGCGGTGATACAGAGCGAGATATAATCGTAATGTATTATACCGTGCGATACATCACAGTTTTTTCGATAGCGACATAACAAGAATAATAATCCGCTGACAATCGGCGAATGCATAATTACGGGATAATACATATTGAAAGACATTATTGCAGGCCATAATGGAGTCGAGAATTATGCCTATATCAAGTGTCTCTAATTACTGGTTATTACAATATAATGCTCGATTGCGCAAGTAGAGGAGTGATTAATTAGTAATGGACCGCGCCTGTAATTAAATAGTCGCAAACTCGTGTTCCGGGCGAAACTCTACCTTGTAAACTACAATTACGTTTAGCACGAAACGAGATACATGGTGCAGTTCTGCCAAAGTACTTCATTCGCTCACATACATATTCATGCGTCGATACCGACTCACCTGCCTCACTGCAAAATCCAAACAAATATCTTGTAATAATTTAAGTCAAAATATTGCGTAAGATTCTTTTATCAATTTTATCCATTGTTTTACTTGATATTAAATATAGGATGACGTTAAATATAGAAGGACATTATATTTGAGGCGTTGGAAGATACTATATGAAATTATTCCGTAATGTTTTATTAAGGACAAATAATTAATATTTTGACATGAAAATGTAGCATTTGAAATTATATAAATGTGTGTGTGTGTGTGTGTCAGATAGTCATATTTAATGCTAAATAGGACATAAATACGGATTAAAACGATAATTAATTTCTATCTCCGAGAAAATAGGCTTGCCACGTTCTTGTGCGGATCTTCAATTATGGGGATGCTCGGGGCGTCGTGCGAACTTAATTGCACGAATTGTCCTAGACAAGGCGGATTAAAGTTCTGCCAATAGTCCACACAGTTTCATTTCTCTTTTCTCCTTACCCGATTCTCTATCTATCTCACCGTCCCTTTTCAATTTATCTCGCATACCCGGGACGACGATTGGAACAAACTTTCCTTTCACATTTAACTCCTAGCGTAGAAAATCACTATAGTCGTCTATTGTAAATGTGAGTACGTCCAAGCACGATCCTCAAAATGGTAAACAAACACGTGGAAAATACGATTTTCACGTTAATCTTTCATTGATATATTTGCAATTAACTTAATAAGATGTAGAAATGCAAGATGAATGCAAATGTTTAGGATTTTTTGCGCTTTCTACATCTTCCGAATTTCATCTTCTGCTGCCTTATGCTTTCTTCTTTATATTTTCTTATAATATAAATTACATTGTACCTCCTTTCAGCATTATTATCCATGTCCTTTTCATTTCATTTTTAATTTCAGTCTTAATTATAGTCATTTCAGTTTATAGAATATCTCAGAAATTTAAACTACAATTTTCCCTATTTTTTCTTAATAAAAATCGAAAGATTATTAAATTTATATGTATATAAAATAGATATAAAAAATTATTTATTTTCTATTGCGTATAGCTTAAAAAATTTTCCTTTAATATTTTTATTGACAAATTACTTGATATTGATTTATAGTTTGATTTAAAGTTTATGAAAAATCTATATAATATTAAATGTTTATTACTAAATTTGTATTGAAAAATCCATGAATGAAGTGATTCATAATAGACTTCGGGATTCCGCAATCCTTGAATGAAATTCATTTTATACTTGGACATTCTGCATTCTTGTTCAAATACCTGTATCGAAAATCTCGAAACTCCTGTCGAATTGTCGATTTTTAACGTTGATTTCACCGAAATCATCGTGAGCAGTTTTCGCGCGAGGCACAGTTCGGAAACTGTCGGAAAAACAGTCGTTCAGGGATTTGGACAGGCGCTCGCGACGAGACAAGTGGCACGGTTTATTATGCGGCACGCGAAATCGGATTAGGATCGCGTTCGATGTGAATGCGTGTGTATCTCGATCGCCGATAATAACGCGACGTGGCATGGAGCACTAAAG